CCTCCATCCCCATCATGTCATTTAAAAATAAATCAAATGCAGCAACCGATGGCCACAATGAGTCAACATACCCCATCTGACCCCGTCCCCCTTATTAACCACCGATCCCTCTATCACCCCCATCGTCCCTATAGCCGCCAATCCCTCCATCCCAGTACTGACCTATACCTCCGTCATCTTTTCCATCCCGATAATCACCCGTCCCACGCAAGCCTGCTATGTCGCCTCGTATCGCTACAACCTCAGCATGAAGGCCCTAACCCAGCTTGTAACATCGCAACATCATATCGTAACTCTGCCATGTCTCCTCTCATCTTCGTCAGGAGTTCGAACAAATTAGTCGTCGAAGCACGGTGAGTAGGTGCATGAGGTGATACTGGACTGCCCTCATGAAAAAATAACAATTACAAATTAATAATTTAACACAAAAATTCAAACGACAATTAATAAATTATTTTTAAGTAACATACTCTATCTCGATCGACTCTGAACTCAGGCACTCTATCTCGATCAATGCTGGTCTTAGGCATCTGAACCTCTGGTGTAGTCGGACGTGATCTTCTCGACGGAGGTGACATCTTCGCCGGACATGATCTCCTCGGTGGAGGTGACATCCTCGGTGGAGGTAATACTGAACTACCCTCCTGAAAAAATAAATATTACGAGTGAATCACTTAATTACAAGATCAGAGTGATATTCAACAAATCCTGCACAGTAACATACCCTGGACTTAGGCATCTGATCATCATACGCAGTCAGAACAGACAATTCGTGAATATAAAGCTGACTCTCATCCTCGATCGATGGTGCCAACTCAGTGAGTACTTCAAGTTAACATTTTGACATTTCACAGTTAATGACTATGTATTGAGATTGTAGAATGACATACAATATAAATCGCAATTGTATAATACGTACCTCGGGATCGTCGAGGAGAACCGATAACTATCTGGCAAGTGGCTTGTCTTGTGCTCGCCAGTGATGCATCCGAGGGCAGCATGTCTCCCCTCTCCTCGCATACAGACTAGCCAAGATGGGGATAGTCTCATACACCCATATCTGCAGCAATTACAATTATTATGTATAGAATTCAATAAAAAAAGCGTAGGTAATACATTAACTTAAACATATACATGCAGCGTCAACGACAGTCCATATATATCGTACTTATCCTCTTAGGCATCGAAAACCCCCTCCTGAACACGCGTAATGTATCTAGAAAACATCTTCGGCCCCATGGGTAGTTGTTGAAGGCATCAATGTCATCAACAACCTCCAAATGAAAAATGTCAATCGATGTCTTATTGTGATGACACCGGAGTATGCTCTCGATGATAAACACCAAGCCTAGCTTCAGCCTAACAGATATCTGATCACATCTCCTTAATGTATTTCCCAACTGCGCTAAAGTAACCGTGGTCTGTCCACGAAAATATTCATTCAACAGTCTCCTATTCCTCGGAATACGGGCCCTCGCCGCTTCTTCATCCGTACATCGCAGTTTAGTGACAAGCGCAAACTCAAATATGGAGAACGTCGCTACCTTGCCCCGAGATCAAAATGGAGAACGTCCCCGTCAACTGACTTCAGCAATCGACATAACAAGGCATCGAGCAACTGCCCAGACCACTATACATCATGCAACGAATACAATGGCCATAAACATGATCGACGTAATATATCCGCGTGCTCGTCATCCAGCAAATCTAATATCAAAGTAAAGTTGGTAAAGTTTCAATTCAACGTAACTTTACCAGCGATCTGTTTGACAACGTCGTCCAGATGATATTCCATCCTACAAAATTTCAAATACTAGAACACTATGCAGATGATGATAAACAAAAATATTACAAAAATAAACCAACACACTGCTATTATATGCAATAATCAACAGATAACGGAATAGAGGAAATTAACATAAATTATTATTTTTCGTATACTTAATTTTACGAATGTTTAAATATTTATTTAAATTATTTATGTATATTACTTATTTAATATTTAATTATTTATTTTAATTATTTTACTAACACTTATTTCGATCGTTTATTTTAATATTTTAATTGCTTATTTTTTAATTATTTTACTAACACTTAATTTAATTGGTCATTTTTTATTAACGTTTAAATACTTATTTTAATTCTTTATACATATTCCTTATTTAATATATAATAATTTATTTTAATTGCTTTGGAAATAATTAGTTTGATTAATATTTTAATTTCTTAATTTAGTTTCTTATTTTTATTATTTTTCAAATGTTTAAATATTTATTTAAATTCTTTATGTATATTACTTATTTAGCATTTAATTATTTTACTAACACTTATTTTGATAGTTTATTTTAATATTTTAATTGCTTATTTTAATTATTTTACTAATACCTAATTTAATTGTTTATTTTTTTAATGTTTAAATACTTATTTTAATCTTTTATATATATTGCTTATTTAATATTTAATAATTTATTTTAATTGCTTTGCAACTAATTCATTTGATTAATATTTTAATTTCCTAAATTAGTTGCTTATTGTTATTATTTTACTAATGTTTAAATATTTATTTAAATTCTTTATGTATATTACTTATTTTATATTTAATTATTTTACTATTACTTAACATAAAATAAGTAATTAAACTAAATTAGCAAATAATAAATATTTAAATAAATAATAAAACATTTCGAAGAAATAATTTTAAATACACAATATACATTAAAATTAAACAATTCAAATAAATAATTAAATATTAGACAACAAAATATAAGCAATTAAAATAAATAATTCATTTCAATATTTAAAGAAAATAAATAAATATGTAATTAAAAACAAAAAAAAATGTCCAGGCCGTCCTCGGTCAATTGGGCATAACTAGCCCAGACCGCCTAGTCAACTGGGCGCCCGTCTGTCGTACTGGTCGCCTATGGAGATCGCTAGAAACTCCATTTTCGGTGATCTCCATTTTATTTTCGCCCTCCCAATCAGTAAAATTCCACATTTAAACCATAAACACAAGGATTTCTCAACACATGTACATAAAAATCGCGTTTTTTTTCCTAAAATCTGCATGAAAACATGATTTTCTACTAAATCAAAAGCTTCTTTCTTCAGAGAGAAATGACCAATTGGGTCGTCGATTTTTCCTTTTTTGTCGGTGCCTGGGTCGACTGTGCTACAGTAATTTTTCTCTTTCCTCACTCTCTTCTCTCTCTTCTTGAAATGGTAAGAGTAAAATTTGGATTTTTTTTTGTTTTTGCTTGGCTTTCAAGATTTTAAACAATTTTGCTTTTTTTTAATTGGTCAAAAGCCGTTTTGGAAAAATGGCCAGATCGACCAACCAATAGCCACTATTTCCTCCTATTATCCTCGGCACTATTGATGGGCATAAAACCAAATCGTACCAATGTGTATTAGCAAAATAGAACTATTGACTCTACTCTATTAGTGGAATGGAACTGATCAATTCTTGTATGGCTCCTTTAGAAATTAATGTGCCGTTTGATGGAATAATCCATTCGTACCTGACGTTTACTTGATGTGAATGAGGGGGTCAGGGCCCACACATTTATTTGACGTGGGTCCCGACCCCCATGTGAGTAGTAGGTAATCCAAAGTGTCAAACTCTGGGTACCTGTAGCAAAGTTCCTATTTGATAACCATTATTTTGAGAAAATGGAATCATAAATTGTGATTTTTTGGAGAATTTGTGGTAAAAAGTAGAGATATTTTGCATTTAATTACAAAATATTGTGTAAATTTATGATTGAAAATTAGTATAAGGTTTAAAGAGTTGAAATAATGATTTTCAAACAAGGGCTAAATTCAACTATCCCGTTTGACCCTCATTAATTTCTATTTCATTACATTTCATTTTTCTCTCATATTTTCAACTACACAATTTTTCATACAATAATAGTACAAGTAAATTGAAATTTTTTTCTTCTTTTTTAACTACTCATTTGAAAAAAAAACACTATTCCACCCATTTTTATTCCACAAAATGGGGGCCAAATTGGGGTTAATTGTATGTTTGTTAATATTTAAATTATAATTTAAACGAGTCAAACACACTGACCCAGAGTTTATGGATTTACAAGTTATTATTCACTTTTTGAATAGCATTTTTCAGAGAATATGTAGAATATCTTATTAAATGAGTGTGATTGAAAATGAGTATGTGAAATAAATTAAAGTAAAAAGAATTAAATATGGGCTTATTATGTAGATGTGTAGTTTAAAATGAGTATGAGAATTAAAAAGTTTTATAATAATGGTTATCAAATAGGGTTTATATTCCAAGTAGTAAATTTCGAAAACAAAATTAAAGTTGAGTGATTCAATTGAAATTAAATTGAAGTTCAATGACTTTATTGAGACAACTTTAAGTTTTGCAACTTCAAATTTCAAGTATGATAATCTTAGTAAAGTTTCAATTGATTAAATAAATTTTAAATTGTCTCAAACAGATCACTACATTTTAATTTAATTTTAATCGTATCATTAAAATTCAATTTTAAATGATCACTAAACTTCAATTTTATTTTGAAGAAATCACTGAGGATACGTTAGATTGTCAATATTTTTCCATAAAAAATATGTTTTTTTTATCCAAATTTTTACTTTTATGCTGTTTAATTGACATTTTTTCATAAAAAATATTTTCCTAATTTTGATTACGTAACTATGTTTTCCTCAAAATCAAGTAAAATATTTTCTCCAGAGAAGCTAAGATTTTATTTTTGAGAGAATTTACTCTCTTTTTCTCCTCATCTACCCACCAATTAAAAATATACAGGTATTGGTTAAAAGTTAAATCAATCAAACACATTTAATTGACAATTTTTATGTGAATAAGTTCCAAACAATTGAATTAACTAAAAATTATTTTTTATGCAAATTTTATGCTTTCAATTAAACGCACCCTAAATTCTACTATACTTTTGAAAGTTTACCACTTTGTCACATCGGTCTAGATCAGAAAAATTAAAGTTTGGTACCATAATTTTGTACCCATAGGAAGAAGTTGGGGCTCGACACTGAAAATTTGGAAGAGCCCATAACCAATCGAATGGATGTGGCAGTGACATCTTCTTCGCCATTGTTCTTCTCATATCGAACACCTGCTCTATCTTCTTCTTCTTCTTCAATTTCATTACCAAAAGCAGCACTAGCTCATAATCATCGTCATGTTCAAACGAATGCGATTCGTCCCAAGAGAACATCTTTACCGGCAGCAATTTCTTCCTCCCCAATTTCGACGGCTACTATGGTATCTTAATTTCTTTGTAGTCTTTCTCTAGTAGGTTGGATTTATTCGATTGTGATTTGTTGTTAATTACTCACCAGGACTGCGAAATCGAACTGGAGAATAGAAAATTTGATTTACTCTCTGTTGTTAATGACACCAATCGTGGCCTTGCCGCTACTCCAGATCAACGCTCTTCCATCGAGGAGGCCCTAGTTTGTGTTTTTTTCTTCCATTCAGTAATATAAGGTTACTGTTAATAAATTTGTGTGGCAATTTTACAATGGGTGTGGTGCGTGCAGGTGAGGGTGGAAAGCTTTGATGCCGGAGAGCCAGTCGAGTTGGATATATTGGACGGCACATGGCGTTTGCAGTATACATCCGCCCCTGATGTCCTCATTCTCTTTCAATCCGCTGAAACTCTTCCCTTCCTTCAGGTTTAAATTTAACTAATTAGCATTGTCAATAACGAGAATGTGTATAATTTGCAATGGGGACACAATTTGGCTTCCACAGGTTGGGCAAATTTTTCAGAAGTTTGAATGCAAGGATAAAAATGGCCAAGGTATTGTTCGCAATGTAGTTAGATGGAGCATCCCCAATTTTCTCGAGGTTCCTTCCTCTCTTTTCTTCATCTTATCAGCTGGATAATTTGTCGTATCTCAATACATGACATAGCCTCGTTAAAACTTTTGAAAGTATAATCGGCATCGTTGTTCGAGTGGAAGTTGATAATCAATCTTGCTTTATGTTTAATCTGGTGCTCCATCTGCCCCGTGCTTTATACACTAAGTTACCATGTCATTTCATTATTTCCCCAGTATATTTTAAAGGTACATTCTTATAAAAAAAATACGACGAATGGGGATGATTGGGAGCACAATGGGAACTTCATATTGAGAACAACAACAGTTATTCTTATGAAATTAAGTAATTAAGACGTTCATTTTGTATCTTAAATTGCTGCCTAGTGCCTACATTGCTGATGGTCATAATAATGATCTCCCAAAATGGAACGGGTTGCCATTCTAAATGTAGTTGCACCACAATCTCAATGGAACTAATCGAACTGGGCTGACCAAAGTGCAAGCTGGGGGCACTTGTATTGGATTTTTCCAAAATTACCACAACATAGGCTCCCTCCCCTTCCAAAAGTTTGGGTGCTCAAACCCAAATCCTAACCTTGAATCAATAAATTCATCTCTTCCATTATCTAACCAATGTGGTACGTTTTCCCTTTCTTTCTTTTACATTATTTCTACTTTCTTCTTCCTCCCTACTTCCAGTGGAAGAAGACAAGAGACTACTTGTGTATTCAATCAAGACTTTTAATGACTTTTTGAAATTTAAAAAGTTTAGGGGTTTTCAATTCAGACTTTTTTTGAGACTCTCTAAAAGTATTGATGTACTCAATTGAAACTTTTATGGACTTTTAAGAAATCTCTAAAAGTCACGGTGTATTCGATTGAGACTTTTATAGACTTTTAAAAAGTATCTAAAAATTATGGTTTATTCAATGAAATTTTTTTAGAAGTCACTATAAATCTTGAGGTATTCAAATTTTAATGACTTCTAGAGATTTTTATAACTTTTAAACAGAAAGTTTTCATATAAAATCTTATAATTTGTTTCTCATTAATTACGAAATTTTGGGAACTTTCACAAAAAAAATATTTTTTTTTTCCTTCTATGGACAGGTATGATTAAAATATATTTTTCCCTTTTGATTATATTTATTTCTATTTATCTTTCTCTCTCTCTATTGTTAATATTTATTTTATATGAAAAAAAATTAAATTTGATCCTTGTAACTTTTTTTCATTCTTTTTTTTTTTTTTTATGAAAACAGATCTATTTATAATTAAAAATTATAAGATTTTATATAAAAAGACTAATTTATAATTAAATTTAAATATATTGATTTTTTATCTACTCTTTTAAAAATATATATCATATTGAAATACTGAATATTAGAAAAATCTTTTGAATTCTACAAATTTTAATAAGTTCATAGAAGTCTACGAAAGACTTTTACTAATTCCATACAAATCTATAAGAGATCCACAAAGTCCACAGAAGTCATCACTTAAAAAAAGTCTATCAAAGTTTTCAAAAGTCCCAATTGAATACAATCCCCTAAGAATAAAGACAACAATTTCTTCATAATTCATAATTCGCACTTCCAACAACTTCTTTATAACATCTAAAACAGTTGAATATATCTCTGTAGAGTATGTATATGTGTGTATATTATTTTCTTTATGTAGTAAATTGTATAAATAACCCTCTGAGCATATCATATAGTGTCTGCCTAGTGGCCTTTGTATGTACTGCATATTTCTCAGTTTACCCATCATGTAATGGAGAGAAGTGTTTAGCTTCAAACTTGAGAAGGGAAATAAGGATAACAGTTATTCTATATTGCAGATTCTGAATTGAGATTTTGAGTTCAATATGAGTTCCTTCTGTACTCTTTAAGTTCGTTTTTAGACATGGGTTTGTTCTGCAGTTCTACACATTTTATTTTATTTTTGTTAAAAGTAAAGTCAGTCCTCTGTTTCATCTCGTTTACTTTTCTTCAAAATATTCTTGTTAAACAATAGATTTTGAGAAAGAATAACAGTTTCCTTGTCACAGGAGCATGAAGGTGCGACACTGCTTGTGTCAGCAAAATTTTCAGTTGTTTCTAAGCGTAACATCTACCTTGAGTTTGAAGAGGTTTGTCTCTGAAACATGATAAACTTCCAAATTTTGTTTTAGGGCAGGTGAGTTAATGTCTCCTAAATGAAAGAACGATCATATGCATATGGAGACACAATCTCCCTAAACCAGGAGTCCTCATATTTGTGTCACCAGCTTATGACATGCTAACCTCAAAGTATCACATAAGAAGCCAATTCTGTTTCAACTGTTAGGTGTCTTTGGGTTTGGTGTGGATTGCATGGACAGCTCTGCATTGATAAAATTTGTGAAGATCCTGCATAGAATCTAGTTTAAGAGCTTCTATGGGAGACAAGTCAAATTATGTGGTAAGGGAAGACACATCTAGTAGAGATACCAAGAATGTATTTGATTTTTATGCATAGAACTATAGATTTTCATATTTACTGGTGCAAATATATATATATATATATATAAATTGTAAAATTGTAAGTTACACCGACAATTGACTAGTGTCGACAATTATCAGTAGCAGTCAAAAAGTCATCAAATCTTTTAATGCTTTATTATTTATTGATTGCATTCTTCCATAAACAATTACGCTCTTAAAAATGATAAATGCTTTAATTAAAAATGACAGTAACTTAAAAAATTAAATTTCAGTAGCTAAAAATTAATAACATATTTTGTTCACCAATTACCAATGGACATAATGATTCTTATTTTGTTCCCTTTACCCTTTTTCTCTTTATGCATGGTAAGTTGAACTTGATAACAATAATAAAAAGCTGGTAAAGGCATTTGAGTATCCCTGTTTATTTTTCAGATAACCATTCAGAACATACAGATCAGCGAAGAGTTGCAAGCTCTAATAGCTCCAGCATTACTACCACGGACCTTTCTGAGTTTACAGGTAAATCCTCGGATATAGCTTTTTATTTCCAAATCTTGCTCACAGATGTGCATATTACTTGCTACTCACAGTGTTCCAAAATTTAGTGCATGCATAGAATAATTTGATCCAAAATTGCTGAGCTTCATTTTTTCTTTTATCTAGTTATTGTGAAATATAATTCTTCACTGAGATTCTATTGATAACTTTCAAAATTATTTAAGTACATAACCAATCATATGACCTGGTTGGATAGCATCATCTAGGGGAAGCTTCAAGTTTTTCCACATTAAATTAATGAGCAAAGAAAAGCTGAAATCAATTAGTTTCTGAAGCCAGTTAGTTATTTATTTATTGTTTTCCTACGAGCTGCACAACTGCCTTTTACAGATCTTGCAGTTTATCAAAACTTTCAGATTTCAAGTTCCTGTCAACAGTCCGCAGAGGTATGCATGATACCCTTTTTCATTATAAATTCCAACTCAGTTTGATTTATGGGGAAAGTGAATGGTTTGCAGGCGGTCTGCAGGCGGGCTATATTACCTTTCGTACCTGGATAGCAATATGCTTTTAGGCCGTGCAGTTGGAGGTGGTGGTGTTTTCGTTTTCACTAGGGCTCATGCTTCTATCTGATAGGAGCAAGTTATCAAGGAAATGAACGTGTGCGTTTCACTTACCTTTCCGATACATAAGGGGAGGAAGAAAGAAGGGGATGAAGAAGAAGAGAAAAAGAATGAATTTTGGATAAACTGTAGATATATTGGTTTCAATATCACTGTATACTCAAATTAAGTTATCGGTATTCTTGAAGAAAAGTTTATCCTATTTATCACTGAATCAATGTCGATCATTTCCTTCAATAGTTGTGCTGAAGGTAAGAATGCTTAGTGATACTACTAAGCTTGCTTTTGAGTATGAGCCTATGAGGAAGAGCGTCGATAGTGCCTTTCTGATGATATATGATCAAGTAAAGGAATGTGCTCGACTTATAGGTATCTCAGATACCTATTGTCAAATGAAGCACAGATATGCTCGGTCATCCGACGTGGATAGGCAGAAACTCCGACTGCCATGTCTTAATTTGAAATTTCCTTGCTTAAAACTGTTCGTTGGTTTTTTCTTAAAACACCATGGCACCCGTTGAGCCCAAATCTGATGTGCCATGGCTGTCATTCAAATAAATGCAGATCAACCCTCCTTTGAATTGGAACCCCTCTTCATAGCTAATGTTTGATACCTCAGCATTACATCTTGCCGTCTCTCTTATTTACTAATTGTACTTTTAAGAAAGGATTTTGCATGTATGGGCAAATTTTGTTGAGTGGACGTGAGACTTTTGGATGAGCTATTGAAGAACCAATAAATGATTGTATATATAGGAATTGCATCTTCAATGGGATCACCAATATTTCGAGCCGAAATATATGTTCCTGCAGTCACATTGGTGTCGATATAGCTTTAGCATCGAGTGTTTTCGAATTCGCTCTTTCAAAGACGGTCGACAACCTGACTGGCGTGGTTTGCAGGCTATTGCGTCAGTCTGAGGGTTAACCCAGTGCGCACCCGAAGAGTAGCAGCTGTGAGTTTTTCCGTCATAAAAAAAAAAAAAAATACGGTCGACAACCTTGTGAAAATACGCGGTAAGAAATTTAGTGCACCAAGAGCAAACACTTAATAAAATTAATCCCCATACATTAACATATTCTACGTATTCACGTTTATGGTAATTGAAGTTATAGTTACACTATTGATAATTAGGTCAAAAAGATTAATAATAAATCTTAAGTGGTGCCATTAAGTGCAAACAAGTCATCAAAAGTTCGTTACACCAAGTTAGTCAAGAGAATAACGTGCGCAAGGACTCCCAATATTTTCGAAATTTCATTAATATAAAGAACTAAACTAAAATTCTAGAATGAAACAAAATCATAATCTAAAAGAAAGGGAAAAAAATCCAATTCTAATCAAGAAGGGGAAAAAAATATATATATATTCTAAGTGAAAAAATAAAGAAGAAAAAGAGAAAAAACTATTACAACAAAAAATCATATTAGAAATAATCAACTACTATCCTATTCATAATATGACTGTCTAACGTCAATATCATAAAAAGAAAAAAGAAAAAAAAAAAATCCTATTTTCGATTTTTAAATATATACATCTTTGGCTAACAAAAGAACTTTATTGTTTATTTTCTGTTACAACGCTTTTTAAAAAAAGAAAAAAAAATTCAATTTTGAATACTTTACCTTTCAAATTCAAGAAAAGGAAAAATATATATAATAAAGAATTTCGATTAATGCTATTTAGCCCACTGGGATTGCAATTCTAATCTAGGTTGCCCTAGATAATAGGTTAAATGAAGATGAAATTAAATAAGTTATTCAATTTCACTTATCATTTAATGTCACGTTAGCACCAAGCTGCAATCTAATGGGACTAAATAGTAAATAGTATTTCTATTTTCCTAATCCAGTCTGGTGAAAGAAATCTTGAGTAATATTTTATTATGTTTTTACCTTACTAATCCTTCTACCAAATCCTGAAAGGAATAAAAAATTCTGCTCTGTATATTCTTAATTTATCGGAGGAAACCAAACCAAACCAAACCAAACCAAACCAACTTTTGTTCATCAATGGCAGCCAACTTACCATGGGATATCACCATCGAAATACTCTCCCGACTTCCAGTAAAATCTCTTCTGCGTTTTAATTGTGTTTCGAAATCTTTCTATTCTTTGATTTCTCAAGATTCTCACTTCAAAAGGAAACATCTCGATCATCAATCTGCAAACCATAACTTGATTCTTAATCTTGAACATGCACCTGAATGTCTTTTTTCATGCTCCCTTTCATCTTTATCATCCGATGATCAGGAGGACGTGGTTGTACTTGATAATCCAATTAAAGTCGAATCCTGGGACTGTTTACGTATTGCCAGATCTTGTAACGGATTGCTTTGTATTCAAGATATTGCAGGCATTGTCTGCATATGGAACCCTTCAACCAGAGAATTGAAGAGACTTCCAGATTGTCCTAGGGCCAACGATAGAATCGCTTGTTCATTAGGTTACGACTCATCCTCAGATGACTACAAAGTCCTAAGCATTCACGAATCTCTTATAGGCGATCGTGTAGCCAGAACTGAGTTGCAACTATGTTCACTGAAAAGGGATTCCTCCTGGAGAAAAATTCAGGATTTACCAGGCATGAAATTCAGCTGGTATGATAGTTACGACTTCCTCAACGGAGCATTCTATTGGATTGAAAACGTTGGCAGCTATTCAGATTTGAATGGACCTCTTGTGATTGCTTCATTTGATATAAAGAAAGAAATATTTAAAGAGTTTGAACTATTTCCACCAACTAGGTATTCATATCAATACACTGTATTCGACGTATCTGTATTAGGGGGAAAGCTTTGTCTGTACAGCCTAGGCTCGGATGTATCGTTTGATCTATGGGAGATAGAAGAATATGGTGTTATATTCTTTCCAATTCTGGAAAAATGTGCTCTTCATTTTTTTTTTTTTTTTTTTTTTTTTTTTTTTTTTTTATAACCATGGGTGTTCGGGTCAGCTTACGTGCACCTCGACTAATCTCACGGGGCCCTGAAGTTTACAGTCGGGTATTCAACTTAGTGGCTTTGAGGAAACTCGAACTGGTGACAATTGGAAAGCAAACCCAATGTCTGACCACTGAACTACCCATCAGGATCCTGGAAGAGATTATTTTAATTTTAAGTTTTTATCAAACTATCTACATTCTTATGTTATATTAAAGATGTTATTATGCTCTTTATGTCATTGAATCCGTCAACAAGATCTTGAGGAATGGTGCAATTAGTTTTGAGCGTGTTTTTTGTTGCCTTGAGTAGATTTATTTGTGGTATGAAGGCTTCCAATGACTCAATTTTGAGCTTTTCTATGGAAAACAACTTCGATATATATGCAATCCCAAGGTAGATCAGCATCACATTTTCTCGGCCAATTACTAATAGTCAATCATTTATTTCTAAAGTAGCTATATTTTCGTTAACAAAGACGAGAAATATCGATTGTTAGATTACCTTTCCTTGGAAGACATGGTAAATAAAACTCTCGCATGATCTAAAATAAAACTTTCTTAGATTACTTTTCCAATTACTTAGAAACATGTCCATTACAGAAATAAAATCATAATCTAAAAGAAAGGAAAAAAGAAAATTCCAATTCTAAATAAAAAAGAAGAAGAAAGAGATAAAACACTATTAAAACAAAAAAATCATATTAGAAATAATCAACTACTATCCTATTCTAATATGATTGTCTTACGTCAATATCATAAAAAAAACCTATTCTTGATTTTTTAATATATATTTTTTGGTTAACAAAAGAAGTTTATTTACTGTTATGGGACTTTTAAAAATTTCAATTCTGACTAATTTACCTTAAAAATTAAAAGAAAAAAATTGAAATTTTAATGAAATTGTTTCTTTTTTGCGGCCTAATTGACGTATTCGACTCTAACTCAAACATAACTTTCCTATTCTATCCAATCTGGTGAAAAGAAATCTTGAGTAATATTTTTATTATCCTTTTACATAATTATTAATCCTCGTACCAAACCAAACCTGCAACTCGTGTTCATCATCCCTAACAATGGCGGCCAACTTACCATGGGAAATCACCATGGATATACTCTCCCGACTTCCAGAAAATCTCTAATGCGTTTTAAATATGTTTCGAAATTTTTCTACTCTTTGATTTCTCAAGATTCCGACTTCAAAAGGAAACATCTCGATCAATCTGCAAATCACAACTCGACAACGACAAGGGCTATTCTTGATCTTGAACATGCACCAGAACGTCATTTTTCATGCTCCCTTTCATCTTTATCATCCGATGAACTCGTTCGTCAGGTCATGGTTGAACTTGATAATCCAGTTAAAGGAGCAAAACGTAAAGTTTACAATTCTTGTGATGGATTGCTTTGCATTAAAGATACCGCAGGCAATGTCTGCATATGGAACCCTTCAACCAGAGAATTGAAGAGACTTCCGGATTGTCTCAGTGCCAACGGCAGAATCGGGTATGGATTAGGTTACGACTCATCCTCAGGCGACTACAAAGTCCTAAGTATTTACAGATCTAGTAGAGGCCATGGAGGAAATGAGTTGCAATTATGTTCGCTGAAAAGGGATTCCTCCTGGAGAAAAATTCAGGGTTTCCCATGCGTAAAATTGGGCTTCGGGAATAGATATATCTTCTTCAACGGAGCATTCTATTGGATTGCAGAAACAGGCGGGTATTTTAATAGACCTCTTTTGATTGTATCATTTGATATAAAGAAAGAAAAATATAGAGAGTTTGTACCACCACCACCAATTAGTTCTTCAGATCAAATTACTGTTGTTTCGTGCGGGTTCATTGCTAAAATTAAAAAGGGATCAGACGATTGTGTAAGGGACAAACCTCTTGAGACAAAGTCTCAAAAAGGGGTGTTCTTTATTGGCGTTGACTTTACAATTGGGAACTAAAAACAGAATGCCTCCAAGGGGCGCAATCACACGAATTACTGAAAGAAATGTTTAAATCTAAGTTAAGAAATTTAAAATTACATGTTCTCTGTTCGATAGTTTTTGATTCGGTCCTTTGCTCTATGTCTTTTCTTCCTTTTATACTCCCTGGATGATCTCTTTGTGATCAACCGCCTAAAAACTGCTTGATCGTTCTACAACTGCCCACTTTCCTCGTAATGACCAACTTGTCATGGAACTGCCTTTTTTAACTGCTGCCATTACTCTTCGTCGTTCAACCATTTTCGATTGAATTCCTTGAATCGTGGAACGTGATAGGGCTTCTTTAATAACTGCTTTGATAACTGCACTTCTTGATAACCACAACACTTTATATTTGCTAAGACCTTGGGCGACTCGAAGCTTTGGGCGAGAATAGAGTAACAGCTCTGGGCGACTGCATGGCACTCCATTCGCTCAGATTTTGGGCGACTTGCAAACTTGGGCGATGGTGTTACCGCGTTCTTGGGCCTCCCTATTTGGGCCTTCATCTTGAATTGTTTGATTGGGCTTTGTTCTTTGGGCTATCTGATTTGATTGGGTTTCGTTCTTTGGGCTATCTGATTTTGGGATCCTCTAATTGGGCTTCATTCCTTGGGCTGTTCGATTTGGGCTGAATTTTTATGTGTCAACAATTATCCCCCAATATGGCAGAATTAATACCAATTATTAAATTTTGCCATATTCAATTTGGGTTTCCAGCAACATTCGAAATTCCCAAGAATTTCAATCATTATTTTCTTCCATAGCTTGAAAAGGTGCGACGTTTTACAAACCCTTATAACCCCCAAACACGCCATTTCACTGTACCATTAAATCACGCCTCACTTTTTCGCATTTCTCTCCCACGATTTACTGTTCATCTTTTTGCTTCCCTGTTACGTAACTCTGAAAAAACTATGTTTCATCCCTAATGGCTACTTCACAATCTCAATCTGGCGACTCCTTTAGTTTTGATGACTTTCAGAAACTTTTGAGTCGTCCATACATAACTCCGAACTTTCTCCGCCTGCCAATGTCGAACTCAATGAGTTCTACCTAGGTCATTTCTTCAACAATGCAGAGGCAGTCGAATAGGCGGCGGTGGGCCAGCTGTTTCCTTGTACTCAAGGCCCTCCATTTCTAAACTCTCTGCCGCTGGGGCCACTTCGCGAAAGAGGTATTCGCACTTGGCTTAAATCTGACGTAGTTTTCCGTAGGTGGCATGCTCGCCTTGTAGACCATGGTCTTACTAAGGCACTTTTTGATAATGCTAGGATTTCTGATTTGTTAGAAATCTCTATTCAACCCCCTACTTTTGATTCAGCACTTTTTTCGTTCGCTCTAAGTTTTTGGTCTTCTGAATATAATATCTTTGCTTTCCCTCTTGGCCCTATGTCTATTACTTTAAGGGATGTTGGGGTCCTAGTGAATCTACCACCTTTGGGCGATACCATTTTTCCTGGTATCTTGTTTTCTGGTGGCGCACCAAAGTTTTGGTAGAAACTACACCGAGTCTTATTCAAGCCTGCAAGCCCTTCATAACCATTCGAGCGCTGAGCCTTCCCATACTGAGCGAGTGGCCTTTCTTCTGGTTTGACTTTGTAAATATGTTTTGTGTGTGCCAAGCATAAAGCCTTCCATGAGTTATTTACCCATAGCGCACGAATTGACGCGTGGCAGGCCTTGAATTTATGTTCTTTCTTTTTGGCTGCCCTTTATAGAGGTATGGCTTCTCTTCAAACTCAATTGAAGAATGGTGCATCTCCTACTGGTAGTGGACCTCTTTGGTTCACTCAACTGTGGTTGAGATCCTATTTTCCATTACTTGGTGCTCCATCAATTTCTCGTTCTTCTGCTAGCTGCTATGGGCTAGCCATTGAGCCCTTGGCTCCTGTAAATATGTTTAGAAGGGACATTTTTTCATTCGTTTATTCTTTGGATTCAATCCCTTCCTTCTTTCCTTTTCCTCCTTTTTTGACTCCAAACTATGTGCATCCTCCCTCCACTATAGACAGCGCGAGCACCTCTCTGCTCATTTGGATCTAGTTTTTAACCGGGAGGGAGTTATTTCATGATATTTTAACTGGGACTAATGCCAAGGTAGGGGTAGAAATATATGCTCCCAATTTTTTGCTCGCCGACTTGGTTTCGGCCAAACTTGGCCTCTTCCTCCTTGCTATTCAAGGAATTTGATTGACCGCTTCCATATTATTAATAAGGTGGAGACAGATGCTATAAATGCTCGCAATCTTCTTTTAACAAGCTATTTTTCATTAGCCCCTTCAATTCTAGCCACGCCATCCATCCCCTTTTTGAACAGCTCTGGCCGTCAGTGAAGCGCAGATTGTTTGCGACTGATGTCAATCGTGCCTTTCATTCACTGGACCAGCCGAGCATTTCTTCTCCTCCTCCTATTTTAGTCACTCCTTTGTCTATCCGGAGTTCTTCTCCTCCTCGTCGCGCTAAACAGTCTGCTCGCCCATCTTCTTCTTTCCCTACCAAACCTACTGCAGCCAAGAGTGCCCCAAGCCGCAAACGGCCAGCCTCAGCATCTCTAATTCTGGAGGATGATGATGATGATACCCCTCTTATTATCAGGAGGAAGGTAATTAAATTGATTTACTCACAAGCATACTTTTCCATACTTGAAACTTTTCTGTGTGCTGATAATTTATTTGGACTTTTCAGAAAAGTTCAGCCTCTCCTTTAAAGGCTTTGGTATCGGCAGCTCCTGCTCCATCATCCTCCGCTGAGACTGCTTCATCCAAACCAGCTGATGAAGGAACTACGCTTAAAGAGATATCTTCAGTCCCAGAATCCTCATCACAACCAATGAATGAGCCACCTTCTTCCTAGAGCGTCAACCCCCCAAACATCGAAGCAGAAGGTAATTCAGTTTTTTGATACTTTACCTTTGCTTGTGCTATTTGGTTTCTGATTTGTTGCTTTTGAGTTTTGCAGATGGTCCTATGAGTCTGCCCGTTGTGGCAACATCTTCTCGCTCAGACAAGGGGAAGTCCTCACGAATGGTGGAGTCACAGGTGGTAGACTTGGCTGAGGATATGCCATCTTCCACGATTATTGATGAGGTAATCTTTGCTTCACTTTTATTTCCATCTTGTTCGTTGTAGTGAGAATCTTCAATATTGGCAATTTTCTTTGCAGGATGCTGACAAGATTGTGCGTTCCATCCAAGACTTGTTCCCTTCCTGGGGGCAAGTCAAGACATCTCGCCCTGCTCCATCTGGTCGTCCTGCTACTTCTTCAGAAGAAGATTTGAAATTCCTCAAGCAGTCAATTTTTGAGTACGTGTCTTTCATGGATATGGACGTTGGTAAGGCTAGTGCTGCCAGACACAAGGATAAGTTTGAGCATTTGAATGCAAAGTTAGAGCAAGCACTGACACTTCCGTCGCTCGATCTTTCTGCCGATTTTAAAGCGACGTTGAAAGTTATCCATTCCGAGGTCCTCTCCTTGCTGGCCAAGAATGCTGAACTAAAGGCCAAAAGTACTCAATATCTTCGCGCCGTATCTGAAAAAGAGTCTTTGCGTCTGGAGATCAACAAGGCTGAGGACGAGTTGAAAGAAATCTCTTCCGAAGTCATGATTGAAGACTCTTTGATGGTTAGTTTGGCTGCTCAGATGAAGGAACTTCAGGCCAAAATGGACGACTGCAAGGCGAGAATGGCTGCTAAAAAGCGCAACGCCTCCCAAGGAATTGAGCGAACTAAGTCTTTGGTCGAGCAATACAAGAAGTTGGAAGTTGATGATGATGTCGTGGTTGAATTGAAAATCACTTCCTCTCGGCAGAACAAGGATTGGGAAAAATTTAGGGAACGAATTCGTTCAGTATGGGGGTGGATTGTAATTAAGACATATGACGCCTTAACTTTTCTTTTTGTAATTTCGCATTTGACTTTCCTTTTGTAACCTTGTTCATCATTAATGAACATATATGTTAACTTCTTGTGCATTTATTTGACGTTTGTCTTTTAATCGCCAATTCTTCAAGCATTTAACTGCTTTGTGCTAAAAATCTTGCACATTTTCTCTTGATATTTCCACCTCTTTTCCCAAGACTTTGGGCTACTTAATTCCATTTACTAGGCAGAATGTGGCTGCTCATATTCTGTCTCTTCATCTCCACCCCCTATAAATGTACGTATGCTTCGCACTTTCCATCTTCCATCTTCATCTTCATCTTCATTTTCTTCTTCGAAACCAATTTGCTGCCATTGTTTGGCATTCTGACAATCAATCTGAAACCTTCGTCTTTCCATAAAAATGGATTGTTTGGTCCCCCCATTTTACTATTTGCCTTGAGGTCACCTTTGGTGTGGGAGGTATAGGAAATATTTTTTGGCCAGCAGCAAAGTTTTTACCATCAAAGTTCTTCCCATCGTCTCTTTGTCCTTTACAAGGAGTTCGATGATAGAAGGTAATTTTTGGGATGTTTGCGGGCCACCTTGCTTGCTGAGAGTTCTTCTCAGTCTCTTTGCCCGCCATTGCAGCGATACATTTAGGAAGGTGGTGTGAGGCCAGTCCACCCTCTTACTCGGCGATCCCACCATTGCAGCGATGCATTTAGGAAGACGGTGCAAGGCCAGTCCACCCTCTTACTCGACGATCGACCGGGAGATTAGCTTACTTTAAATTGTAGTTTGTAGAGCATCCGTTATTTGTATTTTTGCATCTTTGTAATGAACGTTTGATAATAAATGACTTTATTTGAACGTATTTCGCTCTGACCTTGTCATCCTTAATCGTTCAACATATTTTGATTATACTTTTATCTGTTCACATTCCCATAAAGAAGGAACATATTTTTTCAAATATTTGCCGTTAATGAATTTCACGTGCTTGGTGCCATCTAAATCTTCCAAATGATACGCTCCATTGGGCAACACACTGTTTATTTTGTATGGTCCTTCCCAATTGGGCGACCACTTTCCGTACTTTGGATCCTTGCTATCCAAAGGGAGTATCGTCTTCCAAACTAGTTCACCCAAGCTGAACGACTTGGCTATGACTTTT